AAAAAAAAAATTAAAAAAAAAAATTTCGAACTTCGAAAAAGCATTGATTTTTGTCAAAAAACTGAAAAATTCCATATGTATTGACTTACAAAAATTTTTTAATATTTTTTATCGGAAAGTACATCTAAAAACAAAAATTTTGAAAAAAAAAGGTACCTAAATGTTTAGTTTTGAAAAAGTTATGGCTATTTGAAAATAAAAAAGCCATTTTTTTGAAAAATTCATAACTTTTTTGGAGTTAGGTAAAAAAATTCAAAAAAATTCTGAGAACCGTTTTTTATAGGGTAGAAAAGGATGGAAAACTTTCGGCCAAATCGAAAAGGGTCGGGGTCAAAAGTGGTCGATTTGGCATGGAATACCCCATTTATAAAAAATTTAATTAATTAAAATTATTAATTAAAAACATTTTTATTGATCTAAAAAAATTTATCTAATGAAAAAACACAAATTTTTACTACTTAAAAATAATTCCTATCAATTTTCTAATTTAAATTTTCAATTTTGCGTAATTTAGTTCTTGGTTTTACCGCTAGGTGGTTACGCTCTCTCGCTTGCAGAAAAAATTTACTAAAATATTTATAAGGACCGAACATTTTTTTACTTTTTACCTTGAAGAAAGATTACTAATATCTTTTTCTATTCAATTTTGTTTATTGTTATACTTTGTAATCTGTCATTTTATTTATACATAAAAAAATCAGGGTTGCAAATTGTTTAACTAAAAAATTTCTTCAATAATACATTTATTAAAAATTTAATTAATTAAAAAAATTTTTATTAATCTAAAAAAAATTACTTAATAAAAAACACAAATCTTTACTACTTAAAATTATATAATTTAGATTTCAAATTTCGCGGGAATTTAGTTTTTGGTTTTACCGCTAGGTGGCTACGCTCTCTCGCTTGTAGAAAAAGTTTACCAGAGTATTTATGAGGACTGAATTTTTTTTTTACTTTTTTTCTTAAAAAAAGCCTTTATATATTTTTTTGTATTTAATTTTGCATTTAAAAAATCCTTTTTTTTTTTATTAACAATAAAATAGAAGATCGACAGCTAATATAACAAAACTTTTAATAGTCTAATAAAACAAAAGTAATTCGAACTCCAACGCCATTAAATTATTCATTAATTTCGGTAATTAAAAATAAACCTAAACTAATAATCACGCGATATTGAGATGAGAAGCATTTAACGGAAGACACGTAACAGATACCCAGGGAGTGGTGCGGAAATTACTTTCCAGGTTCTCTTTCTCGTAACTTTTATTCCTTCGCTCAACCTTTTATTTTATTTTCTTCCCTTTTATTTTTTACCTCTTATTTCACTGAGCCTTTTTCTTCTTCTCGAGTTTAACTGATGCGCTCACCTATACTCGCACACAAACACATATGAGCATGTACCTGAAGTAAAGGGTCGAGTTGCTATTTGAACGAGGTCGAGGTATATAGCAGATGAAACGGTTCGATAGCCAGGATCCAATGCATTTTAAGTATGGCCCTGCATGACGATACTTGTTATTATTCTTCCCTTGTCAGAGATTCAATCACTTTTTAAAATAATATTTATATTATATTAATAAAATAATTAAACATGCTTCAATACACTGAAAAAAAAAAAAAATATTTCTTCCTGAAAATTATAAAGACATTTTTTAAAAATTAATTTTTTGTATTGTATTAAACTGGAAAAATAATTATTGCACTGTTTTAAAGGATATAAATCCGTGATTTAACTAAAAATATAAATAATTGTCATTAGTACTGCTCAGCTCTCCCTCCGTTAATTCACCGTACCTGTAATTAATTTTTTTCATAACTAAAACACGTGTAATAATATTTTTCCAGTTTTATATCTGTCAAAAAATAATAAATATTACAATGTACTTAATGATAGTTAAATATTAAATTGTCAATTTTGAAGCTATCTCTCTTACACTTATTGCGAAAAATCAATTTATCTCATCAGTGAAAAAAAAAAAAAAAAGTATTTTTCCTCCAAGTAAATTTATTTCTTCAGTAAAGATACTGGCATTAGGAGTTAAAATACTCGCTCAAATAATACTTTGTATTCTGGGAAAAAAAAAACTTTTTTTTTTTTTTTTTCAGAGCACTGTCAATCTGACGACACACATATATATGTCAATTGAAATGCAAGAGTATAAAAGAGATTTTATTAACAGCTTCCACACTCGAATTAGGTCCAGATGACACGGAGTCAATTGATATTTAATTCTTTAACGTTGAATTTTTAATATTCTTCATTGAATTATAAATAATTAAAAAAGAATTTTAAATTACTAATAAATAATTAAAATATTCAATATTTATTTCAACGTAAATTTAGTCTTTTATTATTTTAATAATAAAATAATAAGAGAGATAAATTTGAAGGTAAATTATCAAAATTCAAAGTGCCACCCAGAACTGCATACCCCTCTCTATAATTTTTCTTTCTCACTTTAATAAAGGAGACTGGATGCTCCTGGACGAGCATACGCGATTGTTAATAAAACAA